TTCTTTAAGGAACTCTATTGATGGCCTTAAATTTCCCTTTTGTGATTAAAAAAATTATTTTAATTTGATTAATAGCATTGCTTCAAAATGAATGTCATTAGCAGTATTAATTCAATTTATTCAATATGAAATTACAAAAGGAATGTTGTTTAAGGAACTCAAAGGACATATTTTTGAAGAATATTATAATGTTCATTTGTCATGATAATGTTAAAATCAATTTTAACATTTAAGGTGCATATTTTGCCATTTATGTATAATACATACATGAGTATTAAAATCTATGGTTTACAATCATGTATTATTTTACAAAAAGAAAAAAAATTGATTGTTGTGTTATTCTCCATTGAAGCAGCCACCACAGAACTCACTAGATCGTGTTTCGATCCTTTAAGTTTTGGTTGAAGTTCATCCTTTTAATTGGTATCATTGTCGACGTGTGTGATGTTGGTCCCCAATAGTGGGTATGTTGCCGTCGCTAGATTAAGTAGGGGTAATAGTTGGAGAGATTGAGAAGAGTGAGAATACAATGAAATGATTTTTAGGGTTTTGAATTGAATTGAGTTGAGTTATTTAATAATTATATTAATACTTGATATGTGAATAAATAAACTTTATAGCTGATTTATGAACTGTAGTCTTTTAAAAAACCTGTTCGCACGTAATTTCCACACCTTCATATTCAATATTAGAGCCTCGTTTAAAATAAGACCCGAAGCCCAACACGGGTTCGTGCTAGGCCCAAATGCCCGAACAGACCCAATCTACTCCACTCGTTTGCCGGGCGTTTCTTCTTTCTGCCACAAAAATCCTCGCGCAAGTGATTAAAACCTGATTACTCCCTGACGGAGATTAGGGTTTACCGTCTTAATCTCTCATTTTGCTGTATTGCGCCATCCACTACCTTAGAATTGTTGCAAAATTTCATGAAGCCTAATATTTGACAAAAGGAGGAATGGTAGATGTTTGGGCATGGCTGCTTTTCTTCTTCACGCTTATTGCTTTGCTCATTATACTTGTTTACCAGGTTAGTCCCACCTTAATTATGTTATTTGCGCTATTTTTTGTATATGTGTGGTCAATTCTAATGGACTGCCATGTAAAATAGAAAAATCATTTGTTTTTGCTTTTGATGTATTGTCTTAGAAATCGAGATGGAGACCGACTTAATTTAGCAAAAGTAATTGTTAACTGCTGATTGTAGTTACTGAATAATATTCTTATATCCGCGTTTCCTAATCGAAAAAGAAACGAAAATTGTTTTTCTTTCTGATGTTATTAGCTTATGAATGTGAATTTTGTGAGGGACAATGGTTTTCCTTGTATGCTGTAACAGGAATTTTGAGGCTTTTGTTATGATACTTGAAAGGAAATCTGGCTTTAAATCAAATTAAGTTGGCTTTTATTTTGGCACAATTTATTGTCTGATGGCTAATTCCTTGCTGCAGTGTGTACATATTTTGAATCGTGTGAGTTTCAAATCCATTGCCTTGAACTTCTGACGTACAAGAGTTTTTGCATGATTGGATCTATATGAATATCAAATTTTAAATCCTGTGAAGGTTGCATTTATGGCATGGAATTGCTTCCAAATAATTGGTTCAAACTTGCATTGATTAAGGTTCATGTCAATTCTTAGGTACAGTTCAATTCCACCAATTGTAGTTTTGGTAATTTATGCAATGAAGTTGAAATTAGTTTAAAATACAGACTCATTGCAGCATCAGCATATGAAGTTGAAAGGATAAGGAATTTAATCTTGTACATATTGGAAATGCCATAAATTAGCCATTTATGCTTAAGTTTGCCTAATATTGTATTACCATAGGGTTGCAAAGCGTCGACTAAAACATCCTTAGTTGTTTCCATGTCATGTAAAATTTGATACATGGAACCTGACTCTTCATTTGCTGTGCAGCTTATTTGCTTGGCAGATCTAGAGTTCGATTATATCAACCCTTATGACTCTGCATCTAAGATAAACAGAGTGGTTTTACCAGAGTTCATCACGCAAGGGGTTCTATGCTTTCTCTTCCTTGTGACAGGGCACTGGGTTATGTCACTTCTCAGTGTTCCTTACCTGTACTACAACGTGAGATTGTAAGTTCTTGTCAACTTCACCTTGAAACTTAAATTAATTTGTCAACTACTTGCATATAGTTATTGTTGGTACATGGTACAAGTGGATTGTTGGTTTAATCTATCAGTGTGATAGAAGATGGGGTAGATAAACAAAAATACTGTCAAAGGGGGGAAAATAGATTATGTTTGATCTTAACTTTAGTCAACTACCCAGTCAGTCATACAGGTAGTATAGAAATTTATATGCTATTGATTTTCTTCATGGCTTATGCTAGTTGGTGTTGATGTTATGTCAGGTTGTTCTGAATGTTGGTGCTTCGTAGAGTTGATTTGGACTGTTGTTAAATTGCTCCACAACTTTTGCACTTGAAGTTGTAAATATAAATATAATCAATATTTTTAACGGTCACTATTGGAAAGCTGAGGTCCTACTTTTCCTTATTAGTTATTTCCATCTCTCATCCCAAACATCTAAAGTTCATCTTGGCCGATGTCTTCTATATATTCAGTTATTTGTTAAGTGCTTTCTGTGTGCATGGTATGGTACTAAAACATATAAGATCATAAGAGAGGCAAACATATTGTTGCCAGAAAATTGTTGCTTTCATGCGTAAAGTTTGGCTTTATCAGCGGCTCATTAATTAGTTAGATTAGCTATTTTTTTGTGACTGTTCTAGACAACAAATCAAGTCACTCCTTTGAACTGTGATTTTCTTAAATCAGGTATACGCGAAGACAACATCTTGTTGATGTAACCGAGATATTTAACTTGCTTAACTGGGAAAAGAAGCAGCGGCTTTTCAAACTGGGCTACGTGATACTTTTTCTCTTCATGTGCTTGTTTTGGTGAGTGAATTCAATTACAACAAGTAGAGTTTACCTCCTCCATTGTCTTGAAATTACTGTCCTAATCACCGTTTTCTTTGATGTAGGATGATTTACAATGCACTAGAAGAAGATGATCATTCACTATAGATGGTCATCGGTGAAACATTACCAAGTCGGATGCTGTAACGTATTTAAGAATAGCAGCGTTTACTGGCTTGTTTGCGCATATTTTTCTCTTGTAATAATTGTAAATCTTTCATTTGTTATAGCAAGATAAATTATTTGAATGTCTTTTTCCATTCAAAAGGTTTCTGTTTGTATTGATCTTTGAGACCCAAATTTTCTCCATTATAAGTTTGGATTCAGTAATTGTGTCAAAAAGCTATGAAGCCACGCCAGATCCATAACCTGCTTTTCTTCTATTTTCTTGCGGTTTATTTGTAGCAATTTGTTTTGATTTATAACAACTTTGGGATAATTTATTAACTCCAATTGCATTTTGTGAAAGAAGTTTTATATGATGATGTAGTTCACAATGAATGTGACTCGTTAATCTTTATAATTTTAGAGTTTTACATTGTTTGTGGTAGGTTGGTCTTGTGTGCTTACAAGATCAAGTGTGTATATATATATATATATATATATATATATATATATAATGTCATGTCACCGGTGCTTAATGTAAGTTAAGTTACATTAAGCACCAGTGCTCATTAGATTTATTTTTATTTTATTTTGTATTTTTTTTGGTGTGTGTGTGTGTGTGTGTGTGTGTGTGTGTGTGTGTGTGTATATTAGTTGGTTTTAGAGGTGTGTATTGAATGTATTTGCACAAGTGATATTATAACAGACGGGCTTGAGCCAATGGGGAGGCACATGGTAAGACCGGTCGAAATAATACCAAGTGCCATTGCATTGTTTAGAGGGCAAATCACCAATCTAGAATCCTTCTTAATATGTTTAAGAGTTTGTATCTTTTGAGAATAGATTTAGTGAAAATTGATTTTTTTGAAAAATATGTACTTAGAAAGTGGAAAAAAGTTATGGGATCACGTTTAGAGGGCAAATCACCAATCTAGAATCCTTCTTAATATGTTTAAGAGTTTGTATCTTTTGAGAATAGATTTAGTGAAAATTGATTTTTTTGAAAAATATGTACTTAGAAAGTGGAAAAAAGTTATGGGATCCCGTGCAAAATTATTTTCCTGAGAAAATGTATTGTTGAAATTGAGTTTTTAGAAAATTGAACTTTTAAAAAATTTGTAGCAATAAAGGGCTAAGTGTGTATACTGTCAAAGGGGGGAAAATTGAACTTTTAAAAAATTCCTGAGAAAAGGAATTGAATTGCTATCGATTCGAACCGGTTGAGTTTTGCTACTTCGTAGAGAATTGATGGGTCGAGTCATATAAAAATCTGAATTATGTAAGACTATCTTCAATGGTACATCAAATTTGGTGTTACACCAAATATGGTGCAATCTATTATTCATCATTTTTGCTTCTGGGGCATAATCCAGTGGTGTAAAAGATAAGAGTGAGGTAGTTTCAGCCTTGTTGGCAGCCGCAGTGTAAGAGTTCGGTTATTGAGATAAAAAAATTGGACTTTTTGTGGGTACCAGTGTACGGGCAAGCTCTTGTTCCTTGATCTGTTGGGGTACATTCCGCCATTTACCTTCCTTACGATGTTCCAGGGGCTGAACGGTGGGGGCCATCAAGGTTGGGTTCAACCTTTTTTTTTATTATTCATCATTTTGTCCTTCATTTCTCTGTTACAACAAATTTTTATTTCATCTATCTCCTTTTTGGTGTAAAATTAGGTGTTAAAAGCTTCTCCAATTACACCAAATTGAAGATGCTTTAAGGCCCCACCAAATCGTGTACTTAACCCACTAGACGTTTGCTCCTCCAAAGTATACGGATGCAGGTTTCGTTGCTTTTACTTAGGAATGAAGGATAAAAAACTCAAAAGACCTATTAAACTTGAATATATTCATGATTGATACATGATATTTATATATACATCAGTGTTGAAAGCCATTTTCTTGCTAGGAATGAAAGTACATTCACATTAACCGTAAAAGGTAACATCAAAACCCAAAAAAAAGAGGGATTTTCGTGTTCTAAAAATTGAAAAAAGAAATTAAAAAAAAATGTACAAAAGATAGGATCATAGTCAAAATGAAACAATTCTATAAACACTGACCTCCAAATCAATCCTTTTGTTTATTATTAATATTTTCCATCAACAATTCTTCTCTCCATCCTCTAATCATCATAGCTATGAAATCTTCAATTCTTCTTGTCAAACTTTCATCGTTTTCATCATCTTCTTCGTCCCATCCAATTTCTCCGTCTTCATCTTCGTCATCATCTTCATCTTCTTCGTAACCATCTGAATCATATGAATATGTATCTTCATCACTGTCGCTACAGCTCTCATATGTCCTCACCTCATCTAGATCATACTTCAGTTCATACAAAGAGCTCAAAAAGGTCATAATCCCATCAAAATTCTCAACAGATTCTCTATCCCATTTCACAAGAACAGTAGAAAACACAATGCTGAAGATCGAAAAAACGAAAATTCGAGTACCCCAAAAGACACCGAGGTTGCCATATGATGATAATGAGAAGCTGGAGAGTATAAACGAAATTGATGCACACAGTATGAATAACATAAATATGAGTTCCCACACAAATCTCATGAGAAATTAAGGTTGTCAATAAGATTTAGATACAAGGAATGCCTATTTATAGATAAGTTTAATGTATTCAACAAGTAAAAGAATGTTTCTAAGAAATTAAATTAATGTAATTGGTATATTCTTAGAACACAAAAACTATACTTATGGAATTAAGAAAGGAAATTTCCAGGAATTTTTTAATTTTGTCAACTGTCAGCCACTATTCTATTTTTTTGTGCTAAATGAACTGTTTGCATTATGTAATCTTTGGAACGAACTCACTTACAGGTGTATTAATATAAAAAATAATCTTAAACTTTTTCAAGTGACCTTATCTATTTTCCAATATTATTTTAGTTCTAATGATAAGGGTACAAAGTCTTGGTTAAGTTTTAGACATATCTAACTCTGTCAACACGGATTTTATTGATTTGGGAAATCTTCTCATGGACTTTTATTATTTGAGCAAGCAATCTCTATTATAGTATTATACATTTTTTCAATGAAATTTCCCAACTTCCCGATAGCAATTTACTTAACAGCACAAAGCATGAACTTAAATTAGGTTCATTAATGAATGTGAACTCGTTGACATACAAGAGAATTGAGAAATAGTCAAAACTCTTACGCATTTTATTGAAAATCAAAGGCTTATATTGAAATTGTGTTCTTTCAAGAAGAGCACAATTAAAAATAAATCTTACACAATTACACTCTTTGCGAGCAATAGCACAATATTAGTCTAAGAATATTATTTAAAAATATTGATATAACAAACACAATTATGCTTTTCCATGAGCATTGATGAAATATTCTGCAAAAATATTTAAATAATGTTTATAGAAAAAGAAATATTTTTGCTGCTCAATTGACAAGAACTTCATGTTGATAACATGCTTTAATCTAAGAAAGGAGAGAACGGAATTGGGGGTACTTTTAAGTTTGACCCAGTCAAAGGAGCAAAATTTCACTTTGACTTCCAAAATCATGAATATAATGACATTGGCCTCTTGTATGGTAAAAGACAAAGATGTCCTTAAATGTTTTGTACAATTACAAAACAATATATTGTTGAAAGGACTATACTACCCTTTTAGTTAATAATTGAAAACCAAACATTTCCCCACTTATAAAAACTTCAAAACGAGCTTCCAACACAGAAAAAACTCTCATCTTTTCATCTGCTTGAACCTCAAAATCTAGAAGAACTTTAGAACGTTGAAGCTGGAAAATTTTTTCACATCAATTACTTCAAATCGGTAAGTACATTTACGCATGTTTAATTTCGTTTTAAGTAAATTAGTATACGTTTAAATAGAGAAATTTTATGTCGACATAGATTTTTTTTAACAGAACCTATCAAAAAAAAATTAAACGGATGTATAACTTACGTTTAAATTATGCATGTTTAATTTCGTTTTTAGAATGGTATTCTCCTATGCCAAACTGGGTAAAGCTTAACAAACAGTCGAAAACAGTTCGGCTGTTGGCTGTTAAACAGCCAACAGCCGGCTGTTAAAAAACCGACTGTTTAACAGCCGGCTGATAGTCGGCTATTCGGCTGTTGAACAGCCAATTGGCTGCAGCTGATTTTTAATGCATTTTTCTTTCTTATAATTAATATTTGAAGTTGATTAAAACTATTTCCTCATGCAGATATGATAATCCCCGTGTATTATTTCGGTGATTTCGAATTGAATGAAAATAATCGGTGGGAATGTAGATGGACGAGTGATATATGTGGTTGTATTGCAATTCCCGTAACAGAGAGTACACCATACTTAGAAATGTACCACGATTTGCAAAATAAGCTGAATGT